TCTTTTATTTAAATACATATATATATATATATATATATATATATATATATATATATATATATATATATATATATATCATAACAAATGAAATGTACTCGAACCAATTCAATTTCCAAAATCTGACCAAATTAATCAAAATCAAATTTTTACCAAACTTTGTTAAGGCGGAAGATTTATCAGCATTTCAGTATGCCCTCAAATACACGGAAATACACACACACCACATCACCCACCCATCCCACACACACATACACTCACACACACACATATTTATATACCCACACACCCCCACACACACATATATATATACCCACACACCCACACACATATATATATATCACACCCCTTACTTTTCTACATATATATATACATATACATATATATATATATATATATATATATATATATATATATATATATATATATATATATATATATATATTATATTAACACTCAGCTACGACAGTCTGTTTAGTGCTAAAACGCAATCATCATCGCCTGAAGATTGCATGAAACAGACTGTCACCGCTGGATGTTGACCTCAGCACTGTCGACTTTTATATTTACATGCGCTCTATCCCTGACATTGAGCACTTTTAACCCATAAATATAGCATACCTGAAAATTATATTTTATCACACACACATATATATATATATATATATATATATATATATATATATATATATATATATATATATGCTTTCAGGTATGGTTCCATGATATACTAGTATATGGTTAATTTCATCATTACACATGGTGAGTTAATGTCTGAAATCCTACACTGTTATTAGCCGAATTTTCATAAAAACTCCCCCTATCCCCACCTCCATATATAAGTGTGTGTGTGAGTATCCTTTTTTGTGTGTAAGTACGTGTTTGTAAGAGTTAATGTGTGTTTGCGAATGTTTATAGGTGCATGGAACAACAAAAGTTGTCAAGCGACAAGTGTATTCTTCGGCGTCAGCATCAAACTCGATGAAGAAAGACCACACACGTTTCGATGCCTGTGCTTGGCTGGGTTGTGATTCTGATGGGCAAGGTTTGGGGGCAGGTTAACTAGCTCCTCCTCTCCCTGGGATGTCGTGCTTTTTTTATTGTCTCACTTTCTTCGTCCTCTCTTCTTTTTTGCCAGCCACTTTCCTTAAATATACAACTCTCATTTTTACACAATCCTCTCTCTTCTATCTATCTATCTATTTATCTATCTATCTATCTATCTGTTTGGTTCTGTTCATATCTGTCTATCTCGTTCTGTTCATATCTATCTATCTATCTGTCTGTCTGTCTGTCTGGCTGTCTCGTTCACTTTGTATCTATTTATCTATCTAGTCATCTTCTTATCTCGTTCTATTCATATCTATCTAAATCTCTCTCTCTCTCTCTCTCTCTATATATATATATATATATATATATATATATATATATATATATATATATATAGATAGATAGATAGATAGATAGATAACTAGACTCGTTTCGAAAAACCCTCGAATTTTTTATTTGCTAATAATCAAATCAATCTCGAGGGAAAAAAAAGGTTTTAAAAAAAGAAAGAGCTACAAACATGAACTTCTGCCGACAAAAAAATCGCACAGATGCAGATCTGAAGCCCAAAGAAAAAACCCCGACACGAGTAAACAGCTAACTAACAAAAGAGCTCAATACAACCGTAGAGCTGACCGAGATACACCTAGTGAGCCAGACGCACCTACCTAGGTTTCACCTAAACGGATCGTCAGGGAAAGTAACATATATGCGTGTCTATTTATGTATGTAGTTGGGCCAACGTGCGTGTGTTTCTGTCTATATATCTCAGATATGCATATTTTTGAACCGTTTCACTCCAAGCAATGTAATAAAGTCACTAATACAAGGAGTTACTGAGTGTTAGAGAAAAATTACTATTAATGAGAGAAAACAATAAAATAACAAGTATTAAGAAGTCAGAATATAACGATTGACATTGCATTTAAATTTTTGAAGATCACAGTTGACTGGGAAGCAAGAAGCCGGATGCGAGTACGACAGAAGAAACTCTTAGCATAGAACTTATATATACACATATATATGCATCTTGTTCTGGCTAATGTTTTGACTGACACTGAACGATTTGGTTTTTTGAAAAAGAATTAAAGTAGGAATTTGGATGTGACAAGAAATAACAAATAAAAACGAAGAAAGAAGACAGAATGCTCCAATCTGCAGTGGATGAAAAGAAAATATCTATTCAACATTCCTTCATGATAACGAAATAAATCAGAAGAGTCAATGTTACATTGGTCGAAACATGGACATTAAGGCAATCAGGATGAGCGTTCAAGAACAAAAGAATCATTTGAAAATAATTATAATTGTTTTGTTTAATTTAATCATAGCGTCTTTTAATTATCGTAATTCAGTCAGTTATGCGCCATCCGTGATACACGGTTAGGCGATCATGTATCTTTCGATACATGACTGACGAGGCAGTTTTTTTCTCGAAGTAGGTTGCCGTTTCTTTCTGTGGTAGACCAGTAACCATCCAAGGCTATAGAACCCGGTCCTGCTATTTAGCGGTCCTGCTATTTAGCCATAGCTGTGGGGGGAGGATTCATACCTTTCCTAAGGGTATTAGCACGTAAGTGAATGTAATTTCCACGGTATACTATTTGCCATCCAACGCTATAGAATTCGGTCTGTCCTGCTATTTACCGATAACGTGAGGGAGAAGACGAGGATTCAAACCTTTCACAAGGGTATGAATGTAATGGATCTATCTATCTATCTATCTATCTATCTATCTATCTATCTGTGTGTGTGTGTTTTGCTTCCCTTTCTGACTTTTTCACTTACTTAATTAATGTTATAGTTCGATATTTCTGGTTAAAAGACTGTTGTTCCGACTATGAAACCCGGGTTCGAATCTCACCACGATCAATTCCTCAAGGAGTTACTTATGTGCCATGAGTGATACACGCTTAGGCGATCATGTATCTTTCGATATATGACTGACGAGACAGATTTTTTTCTGCAGTAGGTTTCCATTTCTTTCTTGACCAGTTGCCATCCAAGGCTATAGAACCCGGTCTATTTACCCGTACTTTAGAAGAAAAAGATTCATACCTTTCACAAGGGTATGAATGTAACGGATTCGACTGGAGTTCGAACTCGGCTCTCCAAGCCGCTATCCATTACTCCACCGTGCCTTTACTTTTTCAGATAAATTAATGATATATGCCAAGAAGGAAGAACTCACTCGCTGTCATATTTACAAGCATCTGGACTGTGATGTCTGCATCAGACCGAACAAACTCTTTCTTTCAATATCTTTCATGGTCATAGGTAATATTTATGGTCACATCTAATAAGTTTATATTTGTAATGGTACCAGTCGAACAGATGATAAAGTTTTATATTACTAAATCTGTCCATACGACAAACCGAAACTGTATGAAATCTGTGAGTGTAAAAAAAATAAAATGTCAAACACCTGTGTCCACATCATTAATTTGTGGCTCGTATTTCCCTCAGCTTATTTATTTATTCATCTATTTTTTCTCTTTATCGAAAATTCTCCATAGTTATAATTATTCAACTAAAAATTCAGGGCAACTTAACATCTCTGCCCTCACTCTTCTTTCTGTCCCTCAAACTAAACTAGCAAATGTTTTTTTTTCATAAAATAAATATTAAAAATCGTAATATAAATTGTAAAATTTTCTGGGTGAAGTTTACATTCCTCACCCAGCCATGTTTATGTATGCATAATTGACGTCTTTATCTAACGAACCTCAATACTTCTCCTTATTTAAATAAAATAAAACCATGAAATAATGTCATTGTGTATTTACGTAGCTCGCTTGCGTAAAGGGCAGGTAATTCTAGATAAAGGGCCTCAATGTGAAGCCTACAATACTTGGGTCCCCTTCTCCTTGTAATCTTAACCTTCGAGTCTGGTCGTGATTCAAGACGGTAAAATAAGCGAAGTGCCGATGCCGATATCTGGCGGCAGATTTTTGTATAAACTTCCTTTCCCTTCGCGAGAGAGCAGTTGAAATTGTGACTGACTAATTGAGCTCACAAACAACCTTTTTAAAAATCGTGAACAAGTCGGATAGCGGTTGTCAGGAAAAACGACCGGTGCCCTTTTAGGCGAGGAGGGCTTCTAATAGAACCTTCTATCAGGCAATCCAATCTATGGTTTCTAAGAATAACAAAAATGGCGATTTAAGTTAAGAGGCTGAACATGTAAGCTTAGAAATGAATGCGCAGACGTACATTTGTGATATGCACAAAACAATATTTGAAAAATACTAACAAATATGTTCTCATTCTCTTTCTGTCCCTTTCTGTACTCTCTCACTTCTACCGTTCTTCCTCTCTCTCTCTCTCTCTCTCTCTCTCTCTCTCTCTCTCTTTCTCTCTTCACCCTTTCTCTCTCTCTCTCTCTCTCTCTCTCTCCCCCCTTCTCTCTCTCTCTATCTATCTATCTATCTATCTATCTATCTATCTATCTATCTATCTATCATCTCGGTTGGTTGGTTTTGTTTAGCGACATATCAACCTCTATGGATTACTTAATGCCGAAATCTAAATATTTTGAACGCAATTGTATGCCTTCAACTACAGATAAAACGTACTGTTGGTCATTTTACTAAAAACAGATGTTGTTGATTTTTCTTTTAGAAAAATATATTGCATGTATTTTTATACATTATAGGGTATTTATCCATAGCTGGGACCCGAACAAGTGCTATCACCCCGGATTAGGGTGGACCTGGGAACAACAGCAATTAAGTGACGGTGGTTCCATATTCCTCAAAACCTCCAATCTCCCGATCAGATGTCTTGCTGCCGGATGTAGTTTACCGTTATACCCAGGCAATCTAATCTATGGTTTCTGATAATAACAAAAATAGCGATTTAATTTAAGAGGCTGAACATGTAAGCTTAGAAACGAATACGCAGACGTTCATTTGTGATATGCACAAAACAATATTTAAAAAATACTAACAAATATGTTCACATTCTCTTTCTCTTTCTGTCCCTTTCTATACTCTCTGTCTTCTACCTTTCTTTCTCTTTCTCTCCTCTCTCTCTCTCTCTCTAACTCTCTCTCCCTCTCTCTATCTATCTATCTCTCTATCTATCTGTGATCTCGGTTGGTTGGTTTTGTTTAGCGACATATCAACCTCTATGGATTATTTAATGCCGAAATCTAAATATTTTGAACGCAACTGTATGCTTTCAGCTGCAAATAAAATGTATTGTTGGTCATTTTACTACAAACAGATATTGTTGGTAATTTTCTTTTAGAAAAATGTATTGCATGTATTTTTATATATTCATAGGTTATTTATACTTTTTTGTTTGTTTTTTGTTTGCTGGGGTCACTATTTGTCCATAGCTGGGACCCGAACAAGTGCTATCACTTCGGACTAGGGTGGACCTGGGAACAACAGCAATTAAGTGACGGTGGTTCCATATTCCTCAAAACCTCCAATCTCCCGATCAGATGTCTTGCTGCCGGATGTAGTTTATCGTCATACCCAGGACTACTGCCATCTCTGTCTATTTCTGCGACTGTCTACCTTTCTTCTGCTTAACCTTGTTTCGATCGTTTAAAATATTTTCTCTCTTTGCTTCGACTGTTTTTTCTTTCTCTTTCTCTCTCTTATTTTCTTCACTTTTTCTTTCTCATATCTCTCTCTTTCCTTCTCTCTCTTCATTTATACTTCTCCCTGTCACCACTTTCTCTTCGTACCACCACTTTCTCTTTCTTAATCCTTTCTTCTTTCAGCCTCTCAATTCTCTTTCTCCGCATTTCTCATTTCTTTTCTTTGTCATCCTTTTCCCTTTGTTCTTCCCTTTTCTTTGACTTTTCTTCTCTATCTCCTCCTCTTTATATAACCTTGTGTTTCCTCTTGTTTTCCCCTTTCTCCTCCTCACCTCTTGCTAATTTGTCTTTGCTCTTTTCCTTTTCTCTCACTCGATCCCTACCCAGCTGTTTACAACAGTTTATTTGTTCACCCGACCATTTATTATCAATAAGGGAGTCTCATTTCTATTCACCTGTGTCATGTTTCCAATTCACTTTGCCGTCCTTCGTCATTTCGACCTTCTGTTTTATTTACATAACGTTACTCGTTGCCTGATACCATCATGGGGCTCCTCAGCATCAGATCAACAATAACACTTTCTGCTGCACCCTGTTTAAAAATGAAAAAAAAACTGCCAATCAGATGTCAAACTTTAAGGACTGATTACGGTTCGTTTAAAAGCATATATTTCTAATTTGAGATATTTACTAAACTTAGAAAGAATAGAAGAAATTGGGTAGAAGAGGATTGTGTAACACTAATCTTACTATTTACTATAAATCGAAGACTGTAGCCATTCACAGGTTGGAAATAAGCAACTTTCTCAGCCACCAAGCGGTCCCTGTAATTCTCGTGTCAGGCAGGACACACGCAGACTTGATTGCACTGATGAAGCTTTCTTGATAAATTTAACTCTTCTTTACTCATATTTTCAAACAGCTCTCCGAAGATCATTGTCAAGTTTTAAATATGTGTCAAGTAATCATGGCTCTTCCCAACTTCCTATCTTTTGTATCTCTTAGTAAGATTTGTCTCTCTACTAATCTTTCCTAATCCCTGTTCTGACTTCCATTTACATAAGCTCGCTAGGTAGGTTACTCGCTTTTTCCTCTGCCCATCTTACCTTCAAGATGCACTGTGAGTGTCAAATTCTCCAAGCCCTCTTTCTTCATTACGTGTCCCAGAAATTTTAACTGTCTCTTTCTGATTATATGTATAAGCGTCCTATTTTTTTTATTATTTTCCTTAAAACATCATCTTTGCTTTCATGCTCAACCCATGGTGTTTTCAGCATCCTTGTGGAGAACATCATCTCAAGTCTCTTCTTCATCGGTGAGAAAATTGTCCAGTATCCATTGCTATAGAGGATACACAGAAATTCGGCACTCATTTTCTTTGTTTTTTCTAGCGTAGTTTTTCTGTTTCTTCATATTTTGTTTAGCTCTTGGAAGGCATCATTTACCATTCCAATGAACCTTCCGATTTACCATTCCAATGAACCTTCCGATTTACCATTCCAATGAACCTTCCGATTTACCATTCCAATGAACCTTCCGATTTACCATTCCAATGAACCTTCGGATTACGGTACTACATTTTTCCTTGTCCGTTCAAACACTACCCAGATCTATAAACTTCTCTATTTGTTTGTTTTTTTGTTGTTGTTGTTTTTGTTTTTGCGTGGGGGGTATATATATTTTTTTTTCATCTCTTATTTGTAGTTCGCATCTTGGGCTGTCCCTTTTGTTGGTGACTCTATAGATTCGCTTGTCTTACAATTGATAGTTAGTCTTTTCTTCCAGCTTTCCCTTACGGCCTTGTCTAGCAATTCCTGCAATTTTCTCTCTTTGTCTGCCACCAACACGGTAACATCTGCATATCTTATGTTGTTAAGATTGTGCGCACCGATAATAAATTCTCGTAGCACTTCCAATTCTCTTGGGATCCCCTCGCTGTAAAAGTTAAATAAATCTGGCGAGAAGGCGCATCCTTGTCTTACGCCCTTTTCTAGTTTTGTGTACTTTCTCAATTCATTTTTAATCCATATGCAGGTGGTTTTCACCTAATGCTAGATGATTCTAATAGTTTTATAGGACTATCACGCACACACACAAAAACTCACATATATACACACACACACGAAAAGAAATTATTCGTCAACTCTAATCCAATCTTCCAATATTTTTACTGAACGAAAAAAAACTGGTTAATTTTGGGTTCTTTTTTACGGTGATGTTCACCTTGTACAAGGCTCGGGGACCATTCAAGGTAGAGGGTTTCAGAGTAAGAGGCACAGTTTATTCTGATATGTGGGGAAGATAACGATTAACCCTAGACTTGAACAGGTTAAGATTGTAGTTATCGGGAAACATCCACTTGGGAGTCCGCTCCACATAGCAGTAGCTCTCGGGAAGAAGCTGCTCAGGTAGAACATTGGAACACCAATATTTGCCAAACCTCTTTGAATTTCTGAAAATCTATTCCACTAATCCGAAAACTAGCTTCATTGATACCGTTATATTGAATCCTCAAATGGTTTATTTCACCAAAAAATAAAAAATTAAAAGAAAATAACTTTTATGTCTGAAAGGGGCTTTTGAAAATGTTGTTTGTTATTTATTTAAGATAATGAACACCTTTGACTCCATAAATTCATCACTAACATAATTATTCACGTAATAATATTGCTTAATATTTTCGTTTTATTAAAAAAAAAATGATGAAAAGTAAAACATTTTTGATTGTTGTCCTATATGTCCGTGGAAATGAATTAAATATTTAAAAAAGGCTTCTTCATTTATTCACATTACACTTTTTATTCGTTTATTTTAATATTTATATTTTAATCATTTAAACATTTAATGAAGCCAGGAGAACATAACTGACGACTCATCTCGGAGCATTCCAAGAATGTTTGTCACGAATTTTAATCGTTTTTTTTTTTATTTTTCATTTATATTTTATTTTCGTTGTCCAGCAAAAAAGACCATCAACTCACTGGCTTTAATGGATTTCAGCATTCAACAATCCTCTGAAACAAACTAACCGACTTTGTTGTCAATCATTCATTATGGTAAATTAGCAACAATCAAATTAACGAGCGTAATTTTTAAACAGTATATAATTTAAGAAAGGCATCGTTCAGACATAACTATTGTCTCCCTTTAATTTTCTACTTTTGAAATTCTCGATGAAGTGAATGATTCGATAAAGTCGATTGAACTGTTGAATCAAGCGCTGACGCTTGCTGGTTGCTTTGTGACAGCTGTTTTGTATCAGACTTTGCTAAATGCGCTTACCATAGGGCAATGAACAGCAGCCTGAACAGTTCCTTAGCGGAGTGATTTCAATCCTTAATGAGTGTCGCACTTCTACAGCTGCAGCTTATGTCAGACAAAGTTAAGCTTAACCATAAATTTATAGCTATGTTAAGTATTTTACTTTTATTAATTACTAGCAGTAGAGCCCGGCATTGCCCGGAGATGTAACAGTAAGAGATAGATCAAGTATCGACCATCATAAAGACTGAAAAATAAAATTGACAAAGGTTATTGTTTAAGGTTGAAGGACACGCATGTCTTAATTAGTTTTTTGTTTTTTGGGGGGTTTTTTTTGTTTGTTTTTTTACGAATTGGTCAAACCCAAACTCAAACAAAAACATTGTTTTCAATCGTTATGAGTCTACCGATTGAATAGAATTTTATTATAAACAATTGTCTTGTAAATGGAATTTTTAAAGAATTCTGAATGTAAAAATAAAGAAAAAAGTGTGCAAGACAATAAGAAACACTACCTGCCAAAAAAAAAGTTTGTTGAAATCGGTTGAAAAATGTAGGAAATCCGATCCCATATATAGACGAACACACACACGCACACACGCACACACACACACACACACACACAAACAAACAACCTGGGTTTTATAATAAGTATAACTCGATATGAGCTGTCTCCCTTTCATTCTGGCGACAGCGATGCCTCTTAATCGTGTTTTCAAACTGATTTCGTGCAAAAACAATTGTGTTTTTCCAATTTTGGGCGCTTTCAGAACCACCGCAAGGTAATTTTACGTAGTCCTGTGAAGTTTTGTTGAAATCGGTTGAAAAATGTAGGAAATCCGATCCAATATATAAACGAACAGACACACACACACACAACCTGGGTTTTATAATAAGTATGATTTTGAATAAAAGCGGGAGATCGGTCTTGCCTGGTTCTTTTTCGATGTGATATTTTAATCATTGCATTGTATTTCGTACGGAATAAAGTTATTTTTGTCGTTTTAGGAATTCTTTAAGCCAGTATAATATTTCGCTTTCCATGGATATCTAAAAGGGAAAGCCGAAAGATATAGCAGCTGAAACTTTATAATAAAGAAAAAACCAAGATCAGAAAATCAGTCCAATCTAAGAAAATAAAGAAATAAATATTTCCCGGAATTATCGACATTGTAAACACTTTAGACGGAAATATTAGTTGTCTCCCTAATAAATGTCCGTATGTTGATGGTCCGGATATGGAGAATTGTGTCTGTTTCGATTCGATATACGTCGAAGTAAAGGCGTAGTGGGAGTAGATAATGGGTTTTTAAGAATCGCATGGCTGTAGCAAGTCGCTAACGTTTGCAAGACATGCGCCTCTTCATACTAACAGCGAACAGCGTCTGTTATTTTAAGCGAATGCCAAGAAGCCATTAAGAAAAGGCCAGTTTGTGAAAGACGCAGCAGAAGGGCGGGAAACTGACAGGGCGGGATATGAGATAGTCTTTCGAATTGGTGCAATGAAAACACGGGGATCCTCTTTCCACACCAGTATCGCTCTGGCTTCGGAGAATGTCAGAGAAAAAAAATATCAAAAAAAAAAAAAAAAAATCCGTCGTTTCGTCTTAACCGAATTTGCATTTGGTCAGCAAAATACGAACCCATAAAAAGAATGCAAATAAAAAGTAATAACAGATGAAGCGAAATATTTTCCACCGAAACATTTACTTTCTTTGCCTGAATATAAATAATCTTCAAGAATTAATTTTAATAAAGTTTCAAACGTAAAACCGTGAAGAGCCATGGTCGCCAATCTCCTAAAAGAACATGGCACGTAAGATGTAAAAAATTTCTTTTATTAACAGAACATTCAGTGAAAATCTGAATTTTCAAATAATTAATTTTTTGACAATTGCTTTGTTATTTTCAGGGACACATAAATATATTTAGGGTCTGTGAAAGTTTCTAATTTTTTCAACAGTCAACGTCAGTGTTTATGCCTAGATTTTGTATCCTAATTTTCAAGGCAAGCATTCTATTTGGCAGATTAACGCAAAGCTATCGTACCACATTTGATTTTTCCTTGCCATTTTATTTATGATTTCACCCCAAGCTAAGCAATAAAGCCACTAAGACGCAAGAGGTTACTGAGTGTGAAAGAATATGAGAAAAAGAAAAGCATTATTAAGGGGAAAGAAAAAAAAGAACCGAAATTAAGAAA